GTTGAACAACAGTTGATATGAAATCATCAGAATTGTAATCAAAACCGAGCTCATTTCGTGCTTTGCATTGAACAAGTTTTTCACAAGGAGCAAATGCATTATGAGGATAGGTAATACATATGACATTAGGATTTGGTTCTACTGAAATATTTTCATGAAATTGACTAAGAATGTCATTGCAGAGCAGTGGATCATTAGAAAAATTAGCACCTATCATGACTGCCTCAGGTTTTTGATAATGAATAGGTTCATTTAACATATTTTCCTCAGATTTGTAAGAAGTTTCATCAGAAATATGTGAATCATTAGGAAAAGCCATACCTGGTACAATAGCACGAGAAATCTGATAAATCGATTATTTAGAAACTGTTGTTTCGCAAGAATTCTGAATTTGATTTAACTCTGAACTGCTTTTTGACTCTTCACTGTCTATTGCAATCGTTGATAAAGGTAAATCATCATTATAAATACTCGACTCAGTAGAATCAGAATTACAAGACTTAATATTAGTTGCAATAACATGAACATTAGTATTGCAGATTGACTGAATATATCCAATATCATCACATTTAAAGCATTTAGAATTACGAAATTTACATGAATTAAAAGCATGGAACTTGCCACAGGACGAACATTGACCAAACTTGCGCCAATCTTCGTGAAACGCACTGAAACACCTCAATGAATAATTTGCATAACCTTGAGTATTCACTGGATTAGGATAACGTGATGTAGTAGAACTTTTGATGTTCTGATGAATCATTTTAGGGAATTCCTCTTCTTTACTGCAATCAAAATTTGCATACTTGACATGGTTTAGTAGTAATTCCTTGAGAGTTGTATAAGGAAGCGAAATGGGTTTTTCCGGCATAGCCAGAGTTCTTATTAAACTGTATGCTTCTTTACCGATGAATGTGAGGAAATATGCCACAATATTAACATCTTCATCATCTTCTTTGGTAATGACCCAGATTTCGAACCTTTCGAAATAATCCTCAAAAGTTTCAGAAGTTGAATGAATGTCTAACTTTTCCATTGCACGCTCAATCGCGACGCCAATATAATGTTTCGAATTATTTGAATTATAGCACTAACTAAGAGTCCAATAAATAACGCAATTGAATTAAGAAGATACAAGCACAAACGAATGTACTGCATTTGGAATTCGAAATCGAGCCATCAACATGTACAAAAGTATCATCAGTCAATTCAAACACCACAATTACCCCATTGATGTATCAATGTACCATAGACTGTACAACGCAGGAGACGTTATTACATAAATACATTCGTTAAAGTAGATACAAGCGAAAGTAAGACCACTGCCGCATGGGCCAGTCCATGGCGTACGATTAACTGATGCTCATTGATTGTCCTTGACCTTGACTAGAATCGATGATTGGTTCGACATTCAGTGACCCAACTGCCGGATGATTTGGCTAGAACTGTGAAATTTCGCTGGCCCTACAACACCCTCTCCACCAGATTCAACGGCTTTTTGAATCAGTACCAAACATGTTGGGAGTAGTCGCGCGCCGGAGACAACCAAACGATTAATATGAATCCTCCGGGTATTGCCGAGCTGTAAAACAAAATGGGAAGTAGGCGGCAGAAACTGGTCGCGAAACCAGAGCGTAATAATATGTTAGTAGGACGCTGGTTGAACGTGAAGTGATTAACCATAGAAATTATAAAAATTACATAACGCCGCGCTGAAATATATAGCTTCGACAAGTAATTGAGTTCCTCCGATGAGATCGTTAAGTTTGCCGCTAGAGTAACGACGCTATAGCGATAGTAGGTTAAGTTTATTATCAATTGATGCCGTTGTCTATACTGCAATCGGTTAAAGTTGAATGTCAGACAGCGTCGTTGACAGCTTCCAGTTATATCTATATTTAACAGACTAACCGTAAATACAGAAGTACAACCGTGAAGAGCAATCTTGATTTCGTTGTGCGAAACTATTAATCAACCTGTAGTCAGATTTTGAAAATTCGAAGACTGCTGTTACAGTCAGTCAGGATCGAAGGCTACAAATCGACAGCAAAGGTGGCACGGTGGAGTCTCTTAAAGATTATAAACGGTGAGTGCTGCTTGCTTGTTCGATTAGTGAACAGAAAAATATGGATAAGAACATAAGAAACCAGGAGTGTCACTCTGTACTCATGACAATGATACCAGTGAAAAATGCTGTCAGTGTTTAAATAGAGGTGACACTGTCGTTTTCAGTTACCAGGAAGTGGTCTGATGTGTGACGAAATCTCAGCACGGATACAGAAGGCTCGACTAGCTTTTACCAACTTGCTTTATTTATGGCGTAGGCGAGATATCCGTCTATCAACCAAAGGACGTGTTTACTGCGCAGCAGTTCGTTCTGTTCTACTTTATGGCAGTGAAACATGGCCGGTAAGAGTAGGGGATACTCGTAGGTTACTAGTATTTGATCATAGGTGTCTTCGAAATATTGCTCGTATATCCTGGGACCATCGAGTAAGTAATGCAGTTGCTAGGAAACGGGTACTGGGTAAGGATGGCAAATCAATTGATGAAGTGGTGAAACTTCATAAGTCGAGATGGCTGGGACACGTGTTACATATGCCCAACGACCGACTGCCTCGACGTGCGATGTTCAGTGGTATAGGAGTAAGTTGGAAGAAAGCTAGGGGCGGCCAGACCAGAACATGGCACAAGTCCATGAAGTCACTGACAAGTTGTCTGAGTCATGTTGGTAGACGTAGACTACCTGGTTGGGGACCGCGAGATGATAGCAACCGATGGTTAGAGACTTTGAATGACATGGCTCAAAATCGTTTGTAATGGCGCAGGTGCATCCGCTCTTTGTGTTCTCCCAAATTTCGATCTCCTGATTCCTCCTTGTCTCCTTTTTTCTCTTCCCAAATTTGTTTCACTGTGTTATACTCTTTAAATAACATCTCCAAACACTGATCTTTCCGATAACTGCTTATACTCTTATTACCTCTACCACTACGAGGTTTGAATCGACCACGACATCTCTGTGCTAATGTGGTGTGGCAACTCGAACTGATGTACGTACGTACGAAGTTCTACGTTGATACTGACTGACTGACTACAAAACTTATAGAGATAAAGGAACACACATACCTCCACGAATCAGATCTTTAGAATGTGCATACAAAATATGACCACAGGGGAGCATGTAGTCATTGAAACCCTCACAAGCACATCGTGCACGTGAAGTATCAACAACATACATTATACCCTTGTCGTATCACCGGATGTATTCTCCTTCTTAAATTCGTTTATAATCTACAGCTGCAATTTTAGCTGCAAAAGATGTCAACTCATTTAGGAGAGTTCGAAATGACACTAGAACCTGGAATTAATGATACATCTAACTATATTTTTTACCTGAAGAATTGGAAAACGTTGAAGATTTTTTACAGCGTCATATGGACGCAAACGTAGGTGAATGTCTGTTTTACTCAAAATTTTCCAGAACGTCAATAGCAGGGAATCATATTTTCTAAGACATTCTTTTGAGTGTTTATGAGCACTTACGACACGGTTTTTTGTGTGGTTGCCCAAGCATAATACATGTCGCCGGTAACAGCGAGCCCACATTGACTTCCTGGCAATCCATTAATCTTTTATGTAATCATAAGCCCGTGGGAAATGCGTCCTTAGATGTTCGTACTTTCGAGTAAATCTGAATATAATGCGTTATGAAAGGCGAAGCTCACACATCAGACCGTCTAGTCTTCACAAGGTGCTCCAAGCATTTGGGCACATCAGGATTTCGGTAGCCTCCGAATCCATAATGAAAGTGCGTGTAGTATAAGTACCGCACATTATCTCTTTAAAACATTCCAAAAGTTTTTTGACATCTTCGCGTCGTTCTTGACTGCAAAGAGCATACATAACAGTGTGCCCTTGCCCAAGACTATCAGTCACCACTAGCTGGAACAGTGGAAAACTTTGCTGGTCTGATAAGTCGAATCACTACATATTACCTCCGGGAACGCGTGGTAAACAGCTATTTGCTCTCTGCGGCTGAAGCAAATCATAGATATGTTCACATTTTCATTGAATACTTTAACTTCAGTATTTGCTTGAACGCGCTGTAAAATGTCATTGATATTTTTAGTGTCTAAACTCAATTAATTACAATGTGAGTTCAACAACCTTGGTACAACTGTGAACGCATTCTGGCGATATCGTCCTTGGTAAGCTGTTTATTGAACTTCAAAGAAACCAGATACCGTAGGCAACGAGTTGGTGTATTACTCAGTAGAAACGTTCTTAAATACAAGCGCTCACTTGAGGTCAACTGTCGTTTCGATGGATCGACAGAAATATATCCTTCTGTGCAAGGATGGCTGTGCACGGTTTTAATAGAGGTGAGCTTCAACTCACCATTTACTGCTTGGACCCGAAATCCTGATTGACAATGGCAATATTTCGACCTGAAGGATAAATTCATTTGAATTAAGGCATACGTAGATGACCGACGTCGACCTCTTTGTCCGGGTTGTGTTGGCGAGTCAGAAGTTGTGTGCTCCTCGGAAGAATGATGATCACTATCATCATCTACATTCTGAGCGCAAGCATCTGACTCTGACGAACTGCGTTTACGTCCATATGTACAGACATACCTCACGAAAAAATACTTTAGAGTTGAGTCATCATTGTTCTTTTTACATACTGATATAACGTACTTAATATGTATATACTACAAAATTAATTGTTAACCACAGAATTCATATTATCTTATGTACTTCTTTCAAACAGGTCTCAAAATTGTCCCGACTTGTAAATCGTCGAGATAACGCAATATCATTGAAGATTCGTCCTATATCATGGATCATCACGATGGCATCGTCTTCGTTACTTGAAGGATGGACGTTATCGGACATGGTGTGGTTGAACTCAATTCAAATTCAAAAATATTTCGATTTGACCGCTTCTGAAAATTTTCACGAATTGTCGATGTGACGCACCAATCATTTTGCGACAGTTTGACCTTCAAGTGCTCGCAACCCCTTATCAGTTTGCGATACCCTAGGATCGTTGCTTTTTTACCTTGCCTTTACTGGCACTATAGACAAGTAATTCCTCAGAAATCGTAAGGTTGGTTTATTCTCGGAATCACCTTGATTTTTCCTTTTCCTGTGGTTAAGAGATTTTTTTGCATTGTTCCCCTCTGTAAATTCACTTAGCAATTTAAATGACATCAGATTCAGATTTGTTTAGTAAAAACAGAAGGCCTACGGCCTATTTTATTCCTTTTCTATTATGCTTCTGTGAGTGTCCAGTCTTCCCTTGAAAGTGTCAATTGAAGGTGCGGACACCACTGCTTCGGGCAGCAGGTTCCAAATATTGATGACTTGGTGTGAAAACCTGTATGCCACGGGTAGTTTATTCGTTCTTGGCTTTTCTACTCTCCTGCTATGTCTTCTGAGATGTACTGATCTAGTGGGAAGAAGAAGAGATAATAAATTAAGTTCAAAATCATTTCCCAGTATTCTGTACATCAAAATTAGGTCTCCCGTTAGTCTGCGATAAGACAGAGTAAAGAAATCCAGCTTTTCAAGCCGCTCTTTGTATGGTAAACCCCAGTGTTCTGGGATTGCACGGATAGCTGCCATCTGTACTTTTTCTAGGATATCCGAGTCACCTTTCAAATAGGGACTCGCAGCCCGAATGCAGTTTTCACTAAGGATGTGTATAATGTGGTGAACATGGTCCATTTTAAAGCCCAAAGGGTTCGATATGTGTGAGGGCTGTGATACTGCCCGGGTGCCCAAACCGAAGCAGGTGGTTTTCTTAGGGGGTCACACCCCGAGCCTTCGACCTGAGGGTCTGATCCACAAGGCAGTGGAGCATCGTAAGGAGATGCAGTCCCATGGAAGCCGGTGACCAACAATTGGTTCATTCGCCATTTGTTCCCGCAGGATACTGGAGTCCATGTGCACCATTGGTTTGGAATCCGGTTAAAGCGCCGGACATTCGCTTTTCGTCCTCTCCTTTTCGTAAACAACACCTCCGCCACGAGAAGGCAGTGAGTAGGACTTCCCTGTCAGAGGCTATATACGCGTGGCCGTGTGAGAGTATTTCGAGAGGGAGAGCGGACTCTCCCCACTCTCGGCCGTACCAGGGCATTTGGGGGCTGTCACCCCTAGATCCTTATGAGACCGAACCACGGGTAATAGTACTTCCCCTATGTTGTACCTATTAACTTTCGAATCCACAAAGTGCATGTAGATGTAGATAGGCATCAGCCACTCTTTAGACCAGTGAATCATATTGTTTAAGTCCTCCTGAAGAGCACATGCGTCTATGTCTCCAGTTATTACTCACGAGATATTTACATCGTCATCGTATAATAACATTGGAGACTACTATACTTGGAGTCAGTCAGTCAGGTACAACGTAGGACCAGGCACATATATGCATCGGTCCAAGTTGCCATACCTCATTAACACAACAAGATGGACACCGGATTCATAAAAGTAGTTAATTCAGAGGTGTTAATATATAAAAGAAATATTTCAATAAGGATATAGTACAGGAAGAAAGAATTAGTTGATAGAAAGAAAGATATAAAGCGATTTTAATCTCTTAGTTTAAGGGAAGACAGAGTGTATACACCGACGCCATTGTGATCGATTCTGAGCCATGTCGCCTAGAGTCACCAACCATTGGTTACGATAGTCACGTAGACCCCAACCAAGCAGTCTGCATCTTCCAGAAACGACAAAAGGGCAACGACATGTGTCCCTATCCTTCCGAATTTTTACGGAGCCGTTTAGTTGAACAGCACATAAACGACTGTTAACAGGGATCCACTCTAACAGTGCTTGTTCCGCCCTCATGCTTACTGCTATCCCTACTCCTGCCAGTCCACAAGAGCTGGCCGTCGGGTCACCAGACGGTGTATCTCGTTGGCTCTCCGTTTTGCCGAGGTGAGGTCAAGTGAATGATCACACTGGGATCCTGTATGCGTGTTTCAGATTCACAGCACACATCAATAGTACGAGATTCTAGGGTTCTAGCCAAGGAAGCCTGTTGACCAATTTGACATAGGGTGCGTACGTTGAAGGCTCCAATGTGTAGTTTGGAGCGAAGTTTCAGTAGACCTGGGACAGTGTTTTGAGCACTGGAATCATTGGCTATGGTGACACTTGAGAGGGAAACTAAAAAAGGAAGTTTAGAGGTGAAAGTCGATGTAGGAGGAATAATAGGAAGTGAAGACGGAGGTTGATTATGAATACAGTGGTCTTGAGTGCTGTTAGAGGTATGAGTGCGGTTGTCACTTCCCTGTTGTCCACACCGTGGAAGGGTTGTTCTTGAGGTACCTGAAAACGAAATTGGATTAGAGGTGGTCTTAGTGACCTGGGAGCGTGACCGCAATGCCCAAGGGACAACTGCTTGAGGTCGGTCACACACGACCTTTTTATGGTTAATGTCTTTGTTAGCTCCGTACTTATTGAGACCTTACCACCGGAGACGGATATCCGTGGGATAAGGCGAGGTGTGCATTTGTAGGGCCGACCTTTTCTAACCCCACCCCTCCTTGTGGGAAGGCAGCATCGCTGTCATGCTGGTTGTCTGAAAAAAACACCTTACTGCTGTCACACCTCTGTACAGTCAGCAGTCCGACTTCGCCTTCGGACCTTGGATTTGTTGCTTTTAGTCTTACCTTTCTTCAACCGACCTGTCTGACATGGTAGGACCTTGAGGAACAGTTGTTCCAGTCAGTATAGCTCGGCTGCTTCATCAGGATAGGCAAGCCCGACCACCGCGTCAAGGTAGCAACAACGGCCGGGAATATACTTGGAAGATCATTAACATACATTATAAAAAGTAAAGGACCTAGGACGGAACCTTGAGGTACTCCACTAAGTACTGGTCTCCAGATGGAGCACTTGGAATTTATTCTTTCTTTCTACGACCTACTGGGAAATCCTTAAGCCATTTTAAAAGTGTAAGTAAGACTATTCCGAAATAAGACGAAACTCTCATCCGCTCTCAGTCCAGACGTTTAGAACGATAGGCGGAACATTTCAGAGAACAGTTAAGCTGGCCTTCAGCTACTCTACAACTGCCCTCCATCTCCAGACACTGTGAATGGAACATTGAAGTAGGTCCTCCAACTCTAGCAGAAGTTCAAAAGGCTATAGTTAATCTGAAACGAGGAAGGGCAGCTAGTCCAGATGGATTGGCTCCAGAGGTCTTTAAGGATAGAGGTCCAATTTTAGCGATTAGGTTGACTAATATTTTAGCTAAGATCTGGGAGTTAGACGTTATTCCATCTGACTGGTCACAATCACTTATCGTCCCAATATATAAGAAAGGGTTAAAATCATCCTGTGACAGCCACAAAGGGATTAGTTTAACTAATATAGTATCTAAAATACTAGCCTCGACAATTATCAGACGCCTAACTAAGACTCGTGAACTGCAAACACGAGAGAATCAAGCTGGCTTCAGACCTGGTCTTGGCTGCATCGACCACATGTTCACCATTCGTCAGGTTCTAGAACATAGGCATACTTGTCGGCGTCCGAAAATGGTTGTTTTTTTTGACTTAAAAGCAGCATTTGACTCCGTAGACCGCGAGATTCTGTGGCAGTGTGTGTGAAGGCTCTTTACTCGAACACTACCAGTCGAGTGAGAGCTTATGGCGAACTGTCATCTGCTTTTGCAACCTTAAGTGGTGTCCGTCAAGGCTGTCCACTTTCTCCATTTTTGTTTAATTTCATCATAGACCTATTGATGGAAATAACATTCTCGTCGACTGAATTCTCATGTATTGATCTCCTTCCAGGAGGTCCACTTATCGACTTAGAATACGCAGATGATATAGTCCTGTTTGGTGAAGACGCTGATAAAATGCAGTCTTTTAGTAGCACTGAGCAACAATGCCAGGATGTTTGGAATGCGCTTCTCTCCCTCTAAATGCAAGCTGCTGCTTCAGGACTGGTCTGCGTCAACACCTGAACTAAGGATAGGGAGTGAAGTAGTCGAACGCGTTGACAACTTCACTTATCTTGGAAGTCTGATCAGCCCTAATGGATTGGTGTCTGATGAAATCTCAGCACGGACTCCAAAAGCTCACTTGACTTTTGCCAACTTACGTCACCTGTGGCGAAGGCGAGATATCCGTCTATCAATAAAAGGATGAGTACACTGCGCGGCAGTTCGTTCTGTTTTACTTTACGGCAGCGAAATATGGCCTTTAAGAGTAGAAGACACTCGTAAGCTACTAGTATTTGACCACAGATGCCTTAGAAATATTGCTGGCGTCTGTTGGGATCACCGGGTAAGTAATAGTGAGGTTAGACGCAGGGTATTAGGGAATGATGGTTAATCATTTGATGAGGTTGTTAATCTTCATCGACCGAGATGGTTGGGCCACGTGTTACGTATGCCCGAACACCGATTACCACGACGTGCAATGCTAACCGTTGTTCGGGATGGTTGGAAGAAAGTTAGGGGCGGCCAAACCAAAACGTGGCATCAGTCCTTGAAGTCACTAACTTCTAGTCTGAGCCATGGTGGTAGATGCAGATTACTTGGTTGGGGTCTACGTGACTATCGTAACCAATGGTTGGTGACTCTAGGCGACATGGCTCAGAATCGATCACAATGGCGTCGGTGTATACATTCTGTCTTCCCTTAAACTAAGAGATTAAAATCGCTTTATATCTTTCTTTCTATCAACTAATTCTTTCTTCCTGTACTATATCCTTATTGAAATATTTCTTTTATATATTACCACCTCTGAATTAACTACTTTTATGAATCCGGTGTCCATCTTGTGTTAATGAGGTATGGCAACTTGGACCGATGCATATATGTGCCTGGTCCTACGTTGTACCTGACTGACTGACGATTTTAAAAGAGACCAGGCAGTACCATGGTTTTCCAACTCCAATAGCAGTTTATTAGTTAGCACCTTGTCAAAAGCCTTACTGAAGTTCATGTAAACAACATCCACGGAGTTTCCGTTGTCCAACGCCTTTATCCAATTATATTTATTTATTTATTTATTTTAACACATAAATATTGGTACAAGAGAGCGCCAAAACTCCCTTGCTATTAGGAGGTTCGTTGTACAAGATAGACCCTTTCTAAAACCATGTTGTTCTATGTTTAGCAAGTTATTGGTTTCCATAAATGCCAATTTGGTCCGTTTGACTACTCTTTCCAATATTTTAACTGCAACAGCGGTAAGGCTTACAGGTCTGTAGTTCGATGGAAGTTGTCTTGGTCCTGTTTTATTTATGGAAGTGACGATCGCGTCCTTCCAGTCCATAGGTAACACACGTTGGTCAAGTGACACATTGAATATCACAGTCAGTGGGGCCGCGATATATTATGCAATATGTCTCAAGATTTTGGGGTGCAGTTCATTTGGTCTTGTTGACTTTTCCATGTTTAAGTTGCTAAGAGCCCTAAGCACATCGCCTTGATCGAAGTCCACGGTGAGCAGGTGGTTTGTTGACTCTTTATTTTGGTCTAGTTCTTTGTCTAGAGGAAGTTCCTGAGTGAAAACTGCCCCAAAATAGTCAGCCATAACTTCTGCTTTTTCCTGATCTTCTGTCATTTCAGATTCACTCCCTTCTTTAATTAAGTAGAAAATCCAATGATGCCCCCTTGTTCCGTATTTTATGTACGAGAATATTCTCTTGGGCTGTTTGAGTGCAGATTGTGCGAACTGCATTTCTTATTTTCTTTGAGCCTCCCGAATTTTTGTTATACACTTGTTTCTTACCGATCTGTAGCGTTCCACCACACCTGCTGTCCCAAGGCGGATGGCAACATCCCAACATTTCTTCTTTTGTCTTAGTAAACGTCGAATATCCCGGCCTATCCAGGGATGGCCGTGCTTCTTCTTCTTTGAAACTGTCCAGAGTATGGATGGTTGAGTTACCCGATTGTATAACTGCCTGAAAAGAGTCCATGACTCTTGTACTGATGCCCTTGGGTCAATTTCCCAGTTTTCAGCCGATGCTTTGGAGTTGATTACCTCCATATCTGCCTTCCATATATTAGGACGGGCCGGCGCAACTGTTTGATAGGCAATCTCAGCCATGAATTTGAATAAGATGACTGCATGGTCACTTCTCCCTAGTGGTGGAAGGAAAGTCATTTGACCAATCGGTGTGAAAACCTGTGACACGGTTAGTTTGTTTGTTCTTGGCTTTTCTACTCGCCTGCTATGTCCTCTGAGATGACGCAAATAAAATATGGCTATGGTAAATCCATATGCTTCTTTCCGGTTCAGGATGGAATGCAATGTGATAACTATCAAAATGGCTGTGAAAAGCAAGGTGCTCTACAAGGTCTACTGATTCTTGAGGTTATTAAACTGCTAAATACAGCTGGAAAGCTGTTCTCAAATAAATAGACGACGGTAGATAAGCAGCTGTTGGATCAACCGTTTTAGCTTTACGTATATGGGTGTTGATATAGTTGGTAAAGTATTTCCCAGCTGAATGAACCTTAAAATCAATTATATCTTAGTTATCTCCAACTAATGATTAAAAACGTAGTTATGTTATTCATAAGTTCGTGATTGAAACATTAGTCCAGAAGTTCAAAATCTGCTTAACTTACCTCTACCAAACCCAGCAGTTTTCTTAACTAGATCTAAACCTGCACTTCATTACCGAAACATCTGCTATAGTTTTTTGTATCTTGATGCATATCATGGCTCTTATTTTCGACAAATGCCTTAACGGATATCAGAACATTTAACAGCATATGATTATTTTCTTAATGTCTGTAATACCAAAACGGGAAGAAAAAATAATGAGTTTATAGGTATCAGTGCCAAGGTTGGACTTCATAGTCTTAAATAAAGTATTGGGTAGAGGGTTAACAATAAGTATATTTTTTGTTTTGTCTCAATGATTTATTTACTTTCAAGACGTGGCTTACATTAAGCGACAAAGTGTCAGAAATACAATTACTCTACTCATTGGGATATAACAAAAAATCTATTATGAAAAAGTATTTTCATATTTTATAGTCAAATACCCTCCATGAGACTTACTACTAAATTCAGACTCTTTCTGCCTTTCAATAAACCTATTATCAACATGAATCAATTGGTTGGTGTCCATGAAAAATTAAGCGACCAGGTTAAATTTGTGCTTAAATAGTCTAAGTCACTTTTGTGTATGGAATAAAACGCCAGCAGATTAACTAGTGTATTAATAAAACTGCTGAAAACTTAATCCGTTGGTTTAAGTACTCGAATTCCAACCTCTTGATTGGATAATTAAATCTGTGGGTAGTTTCAGTTAATATTTTAATTTTTCTCGAAAAAATTGTGGCCTAAAATGAATTGCATAACCACGTATTTACTTGCTGTATGACACTAACAATATTATTAAGAGTTAAATATGTCATCCTTTGATTGTAGAAGCGTGCAATTTCGAAATAACTCGTCGTCGCCTATTCACTGTAACAGATTGATGTGTAAAAATTAAATACGAACACCAAGTATTAGCACGTGTTAAGTGTAGTTGTATGGTCATTTTTTTCTAAAGTCGTCGTGACACAACGATACGACATTTATCAGTAAAGACATGAACTCCAGATTTTACGTTTTCAGCTCTCATTTGTGTGATGATGATGAGTAAATGTTCTATATGTTATTTAGGTTAAGCTCTAGTTGTTTGTTATTTAAACCACGAGCATCAGTGAACCCTACTTGACATCTTCCTTGGTGAACTAATAACAGTCCCATTCGTATTGTTCTCATAGTCTTGAAGAAACATCTTAACAATATATATTACTGTCAGACAACTCCAATTACTGCAGCTCGCCTTGTCTTTTGACCCAATCACTTGTTCTTTACGCCAGACATTCTGCACTAATTCAAATAAAATTATACTTGATGGCGATTGATTCTTTGATTTATGATACTATTTAAATAGAATCCTCCAGCGCTTGAGTAAACATTAGCCTACCTAGCTTTAACCCATGATACGTATTTCAATCGCCTGAATTGATAAAGATTAACTACCTTTTTAAGCTAATTTTCAATCTCTACTTAGTTCTCGTCCTCTAACCTTAGCGATGTACTTACTTACGCCTGTTACTCCTCGTGAAGGAGCATAGACCACTCACCATCATTCTCCATCCAACCCTGTCCTGGGCAATCCTTCCCAGCTCCTTCCAGTTGTTATTCATCCTTTTCATATCTGCTTCTATTATCCGACGTAATGTGTTCTTAGGCCTTCCTCTTTTCCGCTTCCCTTCAGGATTTCAAGTTAGTGCTTGTCTCGTGATGCAGTTTGACGATTTGCGTAATGTATGTCCTATCCATTTCCATCGTCCTTTCCTAATTTCTTCAGCTGGAAGCTAATTTGTTCTCTCCCACAAAAGGCTGTTGCTGATGGTATCCGGCCAATGGATGTTGAGTATCTTGCAAAGACAGCTATTTATAAATACTTGTACCTTCTTGATGGTGGTTGTTGTAGTTCTCCAAGTTTCAGCTCCATACAGTAGAACTGCCTTGACGTTGGTATTGAAGATTCTCACTTTGATATTGGTTGAAAGTTGTTTTGAGTTCCATATATTCTTCAATTGTAGGAATGCGACCCTTGCTTTTCCAATCCTCGCCTTTACGTCTGCATCTGATCCTTCTTGTTCATCGATGATGCTTCCTGGGCATGTGAAGGATTCTACATCTTCCAGAGTTTCGCCATCAAGAGTGATTGGATTGCTGTTCTCCGCTTTGAATTTCAGGACCTTGGTTTTCCCCTTGTGTATGTTGAGGCTTACTGATGCAGAGACTGCTGCTTCACTGGCTGTCTTTGTCTGCATCTGTTCGTGTGTATGCGATAGGAGGGCTGGGTCATTTGCGAAGTCCATATCGTCTAATTGATTTTGAGCTGTCCATTGTATTCCGTGTTTTAACCTCGGCGATGTGCACTCGATAATTTCAACATATGCAATCAATGCTTTGCAGGCATAAAATGACTTCCAACTTTCCTACTTTTGATGGTCACGTTTCACAGCCATAAAGCAGAACAGAATGCTCAGTTTACTTATTCTTTTGTTGACAAACATCTTGCAGTCCCCAAAAGCCCTGGTACGGCCGAGGATGGGGTGAGTCAGCGCTCTCTCGAAATGCTCTCACAGCCACGCGTATACAGCCACTTCCAGGAAAGCTCTACTCACTGCCTTCCCAAGGTGTGGGTGTTGTTTACGAAACTGAGAGGATAAAAAGAAAATGTTAGCGCTTTAATCGGGTTGGCGGATATGGAGGACACATCTAGAGGAGTTGGAAAACCATGATTACAAACTAGTGGTGCATATTGGCTCCAGAATCCTGAGGAAACAAATGGCGTATGAACCAATCGTTGGTCACCGGCTGTCATGGGACTGCATCTCCTTACGTTGCCCCACTGCCTTGTAGATTAGACCTTTAGGTCAGATGCTCGGGATGTGACCCTCTAAGAAAACTACTTGTTTCGGTCTGGGCACATGGGCACTATCACAGCTCACAAACAAATCAAGTGACTTTTAGGGCGCATATGTATTCAGTGCCCTTTTCTACCAAATATTTATGTGATCAGATAAAGAAATAATGCATATATATATATATATACGAAATATATTCTTGGTCTTTGCCCTCATATTTTTTCAATATCGTTGTTAGCTAAATTTTCTTTTTTTTGTTGTAATACTTCTCTAGATGTATTCAGTAAACATTTGGATTGTTTTAATATATTCTTGTACTTTGATTATTCAAAATATTACTATGTCTTCATTTAATGTAAGTTTCATTTGACAATAATAATTCTTAATAAATAATTTCAGATAACTTCAAATGTAAAATATTGCAATAATACAAGTTTATATCAAATATCAGTTAAGAATCAAACAAATACATTATGGTATTTAATATCTGCTAGTCAACATCACCCGCCTTCTCTAATATTAATATACACTGATGAAAAATCTGAAGTCAATGTGAATTGTTCCAAATTTGATGATAATGATGCGTTAAACTATAGGCATTCAGTTTCAGTTAATTATTCTATCCAATCTTATGGATTAATATTACATAGGGTTAGATTTACTTTGGATATTCATGTTTTATTATTCGAATTAGATAATTCGTTATAGTGATATAAATGATGAAACAATTGCTCCTGACACAGGACGTCAAACAGAAACATTTTTAGGAAGTAATTTAAACTGGAAAAACACATTATTTGGGAATGATTCAAAAGATGATCAAATCAGTATTGAATTTGAAGCTAGACAATCATTAGATTCTCATGAGAAAATAGACGGTGTTATTAAATTTAATGTATGTTGATTTTTGGTAATTAATTTTTTTCAGAAGGGGTTTGTGGGGATTTTTTTAGAAATTTTCACAGATTTAAATCATGAGTCAATTGAAGCTAGACCAACATGAAAAACCTGGATGCACTGGACGACCGTTTCGTCCTAGTATGGGACTCCTCAGCAGTGCACATCCACGATCCCGCACCACGCGGGGCTCGAACCCAGGACCTACTGGCTTCGCGCGCGTGGTGCGGGATCGTGGATGCGCACTGCTGAGGAGTCCCATACTAGGACGAAACGGCCGTCCAGTGCTTCCAGGTTTTCAATGGTGGTCTAGCTTCAACTGACTCATGATTTAAATCTGTGAAAATTAATTTTTTCCCAAAATAATTCAATATTTGGATAAGATATCTGTTTTATAGGTATTATTTCCTATTTTAATCACTTATCTACAGTTAGTTGAATAATAGTTACTAGTAGAATCCACGATGTATATTTCATTCTATATGTGATACATCAGCATCTCAATGTTGATATTCACACTGACATTTCAATTGAAACGACCAACGCATTATCTGTTAAGCTATTGTGTTTAGATAATCTCTGGTTTATGTAATTAGGATAAATTTTATTTGTAAAGGTTTCTATTTTTCTATTGCTGGTATTGAGGACTGTAATTAATTAATCTTCATTAAAATATGTTGATCAGCTGAGGAGATTCAATCAGCTTTGTTGTGTAGTCACTTTTTATTGAAATTAGATAAAGTTCAATTGTGGTCTTTTACATTATTAACGCGGGAAAAAAATATCAATAGCCTGTCATTTATTTTGATTTCATATAAGTATTTAATAATATGCTTTTAAAAGAAATCAGATTGATAAAAAGTTAAAGTTCCAGGCAGATTTATCTGATGATTCGAATAAAAGACTAAAAGTACATCCTGGATTCCATCACGATTTTTTAAAATTTAATCCTAATAAACATTGTGATCCAACCAAAATATTCGAGCCGTCAGTTTGGAATGCATATAGGTCAATGAAGATTAATCAGTTTCAGTCCTTAACATTAACAATGGCAAAATTGGATCTATTACAGTTAACATCTATACCCGTCGCATAAGTTAGTGGCTATTTAGACTGATAATCTCAGTCGGTAACACATAAACCGTTTGAAGCAAAAAAATGCTGGATTTCAGTGTTTCCTTTATTTACCTTATGTCGAATTTTTATCTGAATAATAAACTGTCTCCATATGTTGTTCTATTCTCAACCTATTGTAAATTGATCATAAGCTTGGCATTCTGATTCTTCCTCTATACCCTTTACTTTTGGTACACATACTTTCTGTTTTATTATGTTTTGTAGTCTATATGCTTATGTATTTGGTCATGCATTTTTCGAGAGTAACATCAGATCCCTGCCTAATTTGGAGATATAGTTTTTCTAACTACAGCCGTCTTCTCTTCTACCTACTAATCAGCATCCGTGAGGTAGATTATTAATGATCCTATAGGATAGTTTCTGCCTGCAAAACTAAATTCGTCATAATCGAACTCACTCTAGGTTACGTTAAGGAGCCTAGCTTTATTAGTCTTGAGACAAATTTTTCTACGGCTCTAAGAACAGAACTAATGGGCAGACCAAAGTCACAACAGATCACCTCATGTTCTTGCTTTTATCTTCCCATTTTATTTCAAATAAAAACACCTTATCTGATTTTTATTAATCTTTTCCCATATGCATCCAGAAACATTACAGTGCCTTCTCTAAAAAATGTAATGTGTACATTTTCTAAACTTGAAAAATTCCTAAAGACGTCATATATCTTGAACTGACTAACTTAAGACTCATGGAAATCAAGAAGTACTCTGAACATAGTTGTTTCAACCCATAAACGTGAGTTTGGCTGGAAAACTATATAACAATTATATCACTGGTCGTTTGAAATAAGTGAATTGTGGCTAACAATGGTAATCCATTACGCTCCATTCTTCTTATTTGCAATTTATCAGTTGGATATACCTAGATTCGAATATCGATACTCACTTTGAGACTCAAACTCGGTAACTTTTGATTCAGAAGTTTAATCCATTAATCACTGAACTACTGGATGCAAACTACCGACTTAACAGGTGTAATGTTTATATTATTATCAGTAAAGAGGTTTGAGTTGTCCTCTACAGATTGCTTATGTACACTAACGAAAATCTGATCAAAGTGCAGTCATGAATATCAGTAACAGAAAAGTTGAGACGGCCCGAGATCTGACTCCAATTCAGATTGTATGAGTGTTTGCTATCGCCTATTCTCGTATATCATTGTCGACTTAGATCGCGTTATCCAATAACGGAATTAAATAAGTCGAATAACGAGAATTGACTTGACAATACATATATTTCGTACATGGAGCGAATGAAACAGAGCCAAACAAAATGACGCACAGGGAAGATGGCTGGGAAGCCAACTCCCTTTCAAGCTAGGCATTACTTAATATTTATAGGCGGACAAAATAAACGACAGACATGTGATAAGTCACGGGACATGAAATGTACACACATACGCTCATATGAAAACAGTCAGGGCTAATAAGCGAATAATTAACAAGGTCAAAATATGGCTCAAGTAAAATGAATTAAATAGGATGTCCACAAGTTAGAATAAGGTAGATGGGCTTGCCATAATAACTGACGCTACAAAGTTACTATTCCTACTTAATAGTCTGGTTATCGATGACTTTTTTCTTTTCATCTCTTCCTCAGTGCTTGATGGTTTATTCAATTGTAGTGAAAGTCGTGTACCCTTAAAGTTACCATTTCCTAACCAATACCAATTCTTCCCACTAAAATATTCTCACATTTGTTTGTTTACATTATTCATTGGAATTGTATATGGATACTAGTGTTCAGTCAAAGATTAAGAATGATATATACTTATATATACGTTTTGTCTTGCAGTTCTTAAATTTCAATTTTTTCATAACTCGAGCAGACATTGATTTGTGTGCATCATCAAAATGAAAATTCAAAATCCCCATAGAATACACAAAATTAAAGAATATTCGAGCGAACAATCGCCTTCAATAACTTCATTATCAGGCTCACTAGTTTTGAGTCCATAGTTATTGTGGCTGGGTCGGTGGATACGGGGGAACTACCTAGGGGAGTTGAAAAACCCTGATTCCAAACCAATGGTGCATATGAGTTCCAGGATCCTGAGGAAACAAATGGTGTATGAACCTATTGTTGGTCACCGGCTACCATGGGACTGCACCTCCTTACGTTGCTCCACTGCCTTGTGGATCAGACATATAGGTCAGATGCTCGGGCTGTGACCTAAGAAAACCGCTTGTTTCGGTTTGGGCGCCCGAATTATACAAATCGAATGATGAAATGTGGCGCATATCTATTTGGTACTTCCTTGTCCCAATGTTTGTGTTTAAATAAATAATATCACAAGTGATGGCATGCATAAACGAATTTGACAACGTTATATGTTAAAAATGGTGAATGCTTGCTTCTGTTACTACATAAATACTTCAAAATTGTGTTATTTGTAAATAATACAGACCAGAGTGATTTGTAGTAAAGTACCAAGTCATAATCAATGTAATAGTGATATCGGTATGAATGACTCAATTAAGTGATCTACTGATCTTGTGTGTACTTGGTTATTTATAGCTTGGTTCCTGGATTTTGTGTACTAATTTAAATAAGGACTTTGATATCGATTCGGATGTTTATCTAGAATATAGGTGTTCAATCCACGTGCTTTTACATTGATATTCTACTAATGATATGAAGTAGCTGAGCATGTTGACTACTTCCCTCATGTTGCAAGTCTCAGTACTACTGGTAGGTTCTTGTTTAACGAAAGTTCAGCACTGATTAAGGATGTACAATTGGTTTTTGCTAACTCGTGTCAACAATATTGTGGTTGAGATATTCGTCTCCCAACCACAGGAAGGATGTACTGCACAGCAGTTCATTCTGTCCTACTTTATGGTTGTGAAATATGGTTTTTAAAAACTGGGGATTACTAGTATTTGATACCTTAGAAGCATTGGTAATTTATTCTGGGACCACTGATTACTCATTACTGAGGTTAGGTGCAGGGCACCAGGTAAAGATAGCGAATCAGTTGATTTGATAGTGAATTTTCAGTGACTGGGGTGGTTGGGACATATATAATACATATCCAACTACCGCTTACTTAGACGTACAATTTTTAATCGTCTAGGAGTGGGTTGTAACAAATCCAAGTGTACTCAAACCAGAATGAGACATCCGTTCACAAAAACACTGACTGTTAGACTAAGCCATAAAGACAAATTCAAATTACTCTATTGTAGTTATCACGATTACTATAAGGACTGGTTGAAAGTGTTAAGTAGCGTAGCTTAAAATCTGTCACAATATCACAAATGTATTCATTCTTTATCATCCTTAAAATGATTTTATACAGTACTTTGTGAATTCATTTTTTCTTCTCAACTTATATAGTTGTCGTGCATCAAATATCTACATTAACTAACTAATTACTTGATTTAACTAGAATTAGTTTATATTTTTGCTAATGATATCGAAAAAGAGGAAGGCCAAAGAACACATTGCGTCGGATAATAGAAGCAGATATGATAAATTACAACTGGACAGAGCTAGAAAGGATTGCCCAGGACAGGGTTGGATGGAGAATGCTGGTGAGCGGCCTATGCTCCTTCACGAGGAGTAACAGGCGTAAGTAATGATATCGTTCAGAATAACTATGAAAGGCTCCATGATCAAACTATCCAATTCATACAACAAAACTTCATCAAAATATTTGTGAAAAAAAAACACACACACACAGTAACTTTCACTAAATATACATCTTCTTTTTTCATTCTCTTTCATTTTACATCTTATCAGTTTAAATTGTATAAAATAATGGAACCACAACATAAAGATATGTATTATAGAATTGAGAATGCTTTAAGTATTTCTATTGAATTAATATTAGACAAAGTGGAAATAATCAATTCAAATGATAAATTTTCACCGGTTCTATTAATTTTTTCTAATCATTCACTTATGGACAATTCATATTATTGGAATAAAACAACTATTCAAAAACATTGTGAAGATGGTCCATTGGGTAAAATAAAAGTATGTTAAATTATTCATTTATTATTGAAATATATTTTTATTTTTTTCAATAATTTTCTATATATTTATGTAAACAATTTCATTTTATTGAAAGATTCTTCAATAGTTTATCAAAGAATAAAAACCGATTAATACCACTATGTCAGCGTCCATTGGTATACATTTTTCAGATTTAGTTAGCTCGCACTATGATCGTCCAAATATTTTTTTTCGGTCTCGTTTTGATTTTGACAAATGACCTCTTATTTATTATTATTGAGTACAATATTGAATGAGATTATAAGCAAATGTGGATGGTGACTAGCAGTGGAATCTAGGACGCAGGTTTCATCCTATTTTGAACTCGTCAACTAAATGTACCTGCATCCTAGAGTTGATGTTCACTTCAGGACTCGAATCCAGTACTGTTAGCTTCAAACGCCATCGCGTGATGGACTTGGCTACTGAGTCCTGATAACCACTAGTTTGTGTAATGGGGTGAAGTTTTTGCATTGTTTGTTTAAATCATCCCATTGATGTTTAGAACTGTAATTGATCAGTCACTTACTGGCATATATGCACCCTGTGCGGATGGCTTCGATATTGCCTTCAATCACAAGCATTATAAGCAAAGAATAATGGATGAATACGATTGTTATCAATCGGTTCCTATTAGTCTTAATGCTTCAGAAAAATCAACTGTTGAAACTTAAAATATTTACTTTATTTCATAAATAATTATTAGTGATAGTAGGTGCCTTTATATCGTGTTCTCATTCTATATTAATTACTTTGTAAGTACATATTATTACTTGACCTTTGAATGATCCAACAATCGTATATGTGTTTGTGATATTCAGTAACTTCCTGGATTAAAATCTCATGAAGGAAGCAGTAGTTCTCTAAAAAGGTCGCAAATGCGTACAGCTTTATATATATATATATATATATATATATATATATATATATATATATATATATATATATATATATATATATATATATATATATATATTGTTTTTCGAAAACACTTAACTTTGTAACATTACCGTAGAGTCCACTGACATGAATTAGTTAGTTGGAACTGATTTTTGCTCGTTGTTGTGAAATTCATGTATAGATATGTTGTTAGAGAAATAAGAATAAGTGACATTCGTATTAATACCGTTGAATGACGACTCAGTGGTCTAGAGGTTAAACGTCGGCGCGCGAGACTGAAGGTCTCGTATTCGAGTCCCATGAACATTGGGGTTTGAAGATGCTACTTGAGGAGTATAATCCAGGGAAATGAATTTGGAAAGAGAATGAAAAGGGACATGAAGAATTCAAAATATTATAATTTGGGAGAACACAAAGAGTGGATGCACTTGTGCCATTGCAAACTATTTCGAGCCATTACATTCAGGGTCTCTAACCATCGGTTGCTATAATCTCGCGGATCGCAACCAGGTAGTCTACGTCTACCAACATGGTTCAGTCCACTTGTCAGTGACTTCATGGATTTGTGCCATGTTTTGGTTTGGCCGCCCTAGCTTCCTTCCAACTTACTCCTACAGCATAAAAGATCGCAGGTCGATGCAGTCGGTGGTTGGGAATACGTGGCACATGTCCCAGCCATCTCAACTGATGAAGTTTCACTATTTCAACAATTGATTTGCCATCCTTGCCTAGTACCCGTTTCCTAACAACTGCATTACTTACTCGGTGGTTCCAGGATATACGAGCAATCTTTCGAAGACACCTATGATCAAATACTAGTAACTTACGAATATCGTCTACTCTTACCGGCCATGTTTCACTGCCATAAAGTAGGACGGAACGAACTGCCGTGCAGTAAATCCGTCTTTTGGTCGGTAGACAGATATCTCGCCTACGCGATAAATGACGCAAGTTGGCAAAAGCTAGTCGAGCCTTCTGTATCCGTGCTGAGATTTCGTCACACACCAGACCACAAGGACTGGTGAGACTCAACATAAGTGAAGCGGTCGACACGCTCAACTACTTCACTACCTTTCATTAGTTCGGGTGTCAATGCAGCCTAATCCTGAAGCAACATTTTACATTTCGAGGGGGAGAATCGCATCCGGAACATGCTTGCATTGTTGCTTAGAGTGGTCAGAAGACTGCATCTTGTCAGCGTCTTCACTAAATAGAACTGTGTCATCGGCATATTCTAGGTCAGAAATTGAATCTGCCGATAAAAGTTCAACTCCTGGAAAGTTATCTGTAAAAGCACGTCAATGACAAAGTTAACCAAAAATGGAGAGAGTGGACAGCCCTGACGAACACCACTTGAAATAATCAATTCTGTTGACAGTTAGCCATAAGCCTTCATTCGGCCAGTTGTGTTCGAGTAGAGAGCCCGTATAAGGTTAATGTACTTCTTTGGTACTCTTTTCTGTGACAAACACTGCCATAGAACCTTACGATCAACAGAGTCAAATGTCGTCAAGAAATACTACCATTGTGGGGCGTCTGAACGTGTGTCTGTGTTCTAGAACCTGACGTAGTGTGAATATCTGATCTATACAACCACGTCCAGGTCTGCCCTTCACGAGCTTTAGTTAGGCGTCGATGTATCAATGAAGCTGATATTTTAGACACTATAATCTAATTTCTTAATAAGAATATGTATAATGATGGTTCATAAATAATTCCTAGCAGTTACCATTCATTTATTCTTCGTTCGGATATAACATATTTTGTTAAGATTTACTAATTTAACTCACAATCCATAAGAGATTCTTAATTTATGCTATGCGTTAACTTCACTTTGGTATAACTTTTTATCATAATTTTGTTAATTTTCTATTTTAAATGATCATCTAATTGATATTTATGAACTAGATAAGTATTGAGCAAACAGGAGTGAAAATGACAAGAGATATCAATGAAATCCATTAATTTTAATGTTTATAACTCACTCAAGTATACAGGTTCGTGTACACTTGTAGTGAATGAACACTCAGGTGGGGAAGACCAATTTATTTTTTAATGCATAGTCGCATAGTGGTTTAGTAAAATGTGAAAATCATAAGTCAAATATATCATTTGCACATCTTCTTTGAATTGTCTTTTATAAGCTTCATTGTTTCTTCATTCCTGTTGTTCTCTTGATCATCTTCAGTTTTCTTTTGTCTTCTCCTCATTTCAATCTTCTTAACCTTGTCGCAGTCATTCCACTTCCGACTGGTGTTACACGTTACTTATATATGCAAACATTAGTAGCATACACTACACTCGTCCCCTCTTTAAACGTTCGCTCCTGCGGTTATTTTCCCTTTTTCTTCTTTACCTCATTCTGCCACCCTCCTCTTCAAAATGTCGAGTCCGCCGGTGCGCTGAATTTCGTAGCTCCGTCAACCTGACGAGCCAATTTATTTTGTTAATACAAAATTTCGAGATGTCTTCGTAAAATACGAAATTATACATTAAATACATCGTCTGCACATCTTCCATCAATTGTCCTTTATACGCTTCATAATTCCCTCCATTTTTTTATCACAATTACTTTCTATTCTCTTCAATTAAATCCTCTCAATCTTCCTCTGGCATGCATTCCATTTTCGATTGGTGCCACATACTACTTACATATATTGACATAAGTAGCATATACCACTCACTTAGTTTTATGTTACATATCAAATATTTTGTGTTAGTAATACTTATAAACTGGTTTCTCAAATACTAATAGTTATATGAGAAAATAGTATTTGTGAATTTGTCATTTAGTGATTGAAAGTTGAATGTCTTTAACCATTGAACAGTTGTTCCACTTTTCCATGTAAGTATTCTTATCAAAGAATATATTTAGGTGGCTATTAATACTATATAGAGTTCTCTTTCGCTTTAATTAATAGTATTTATCATTACAAAAGGGGATAAATTAACTCAAGATTAAAAGATCCTACGAATTATCATTTTGCGAATTAAATTCTAGACGTTACTATGGTCTACCGGTTAATAAAAATGTGCCTACCCACTTCTATACTTATATACAGATACAGTTTACTTCTTGTATGACTATATTTAAAATAACAATTCTCTTATCACTCTTTACCACAAAATACCACTTAAAGACACAAGTTTCACGATGTACTTTCAACATACAATTCAAAGTTAAGAATGTTTTCATGGAAATTAGTATTTTGAATAGTTTGTTGATGGATTACCTCTTGTTTATCTATTATCTCTTGAGACACTAATCAATATCGCGTGTTGCATTCACTAATAGGAATTCCAACTATAATTTTTCTATTCAGCGTCTACTATTCTATCTGTAGTCTAACATTTTAGACTTGACCAACTATACGTTCTAAACTGGACTGTTGTTAACCTTAAGTCAACATAAACTACAATTCTATTGTCTCTCCCTGAAAAGAAGTCATCAATCAACCTTCTACTCTTATTATATTTTAATTAACAACTAGTTCAATCAGCCAGCACAACTAGCAACTATCTCAAACACTCCTTACTTCATATACACAAATTATTAGACTGGTACAGTACATCATATAAGGTATCACATTTTAAACATTATAATATCCTAACTGATAGAGAACAAAACAAATAGTACGTGATTGATTAACAATAATTAAGGAATAAAGTATGGTACCAGTTGATAGGTCTACTAGTAGTCTATAATAAGTATTTGACCACAGATGCCTTAGAAATATTGCTGGCGTCTGCTGGGATAACCGGGTAAGTAATAGTGAGGTTAGACGCAGAGTATTAGGAAAGGATGGTAAATCAGTTGATGAGGTTATGAATCTCCATCGACTGAGATGGTTGGGCCACGTGTTACGTATGCCTGAACACCGATTACCACGACGTGCAATGCTATCCGGTATTGGAAATGGTTGGAAGAAAGTTAGGGGCGGCCAAACCAAAACGTGGCATCAGTGCTTGAAGTCACTAACTTCTAGTCTGAGCCATGTTGGTAGATGCAGACTACTTGGTTGGGGTCCGCGTGACTATCGTAACCAATGGTTGGAGACTCTTGGTGACATGGCTCAGAATCGATCACAATGGCGTCGGTGTATACACTCTGTCTTCCCTTAAACTAAGAGATTAAAATCGCTTCATATCTTTCTTTCTACGAACCAATTCTTTCTTCTTGTACTATATCTCTATATGCAATCTTTCTCTTATATATTACCACCTTTTACCTAACCACTGTTATGAATCCGGTGTCCATCTTGTTGTGCTGATGCGGTATGGCAACCTGGACCGATGCACATATGTGCCTGGTCCTACGTTGTAGCTGACTGACTGACTGACTATAATAAGGAGAATATGACAATAAGTATAATACAATCCATCTATTAATTAATTAATTAATTTTCTTTCATAATATATTTCTCAGTCACCATTTATCCAATTGGGATTGGAAGTATCAAAAGATAATAAATTAATTCAATCTACATGGCCTAATGCATACTTACAATTTCCTGCAGCTTATTGGATTGATCGTGAAAATACTCAAGCTCAATTAGTACGACTTGGTCTTGCACGCCCAATTGATCATCGTTATGTTAAACCAAAGTCATATCATTTAAGTTTACCATTCGCTTTGTACGGTGATAGATTTAATCAAATTCATAGTCAGTCAACTGAAAATCAAGTTGCTGTACGTGAATTAATTATCAATTTAGGCACTCCTTATTCGAAACATTACTATGCTGACACAAATTATTCATCATGGTAAGCTTATTTATTATTTGATTATTGCTCCATTATATGTATATTGCGGTCATTGTAGAAGGGATTTTAGAGTTGAAACATGCTACTCAGTTACTCATTCGCAAAGAATGTGAAAACTTCACCTGAATAATCTGCATCTACCTTTACTGTTCAGTTTAACAGTCAGTGATTACGTGGGGTGATGTCTCGTCTCGGTTTCAACGCCCTTAGATTTTTTACAACTTAGTCGTACATCACCTAACATCGTTCATCGAGATAAGCGGTAGCTGAATATACATAACACTTATCCTAACTACCTTGACTGATGAAAATTCGTCACCTCATCAGCTTAGCATCTTTACCTAGTATCATGTACCTAATTTCGTCATTGATGATTCGGTGGTTTAAATAAATGCGACCAGTGCTTCGAAGACATCTGTATTTAAATACTAGTAACCTAGGGATATCCTCGCTTTCCAAGCACCACGTTTCACGGTCATAAAATAAGAAAACGAACTGATGTATACTATTATCGAGGACTAGAAGAGAATGGATGTGTTATGTTCAGTGTTCAATGAAGTTCGCTAGTTATTACCTCTGTTCATCAAACATATCAAGTACATTAATCCTTTGATTAAAAGATGGACATCTAGACTATAACACAGCTGACGCGAATAGGCAAAATGTAACCAAGCTTTATGAATATATACTCAAATTCCATTAGACACCAACTCAGCAGGGCTAATGAAACTTCCATGATAAGTAAATTGGTCGATGCGTTTATCTAGTACACTTTCCGATAATTTATTCATTGGCTCAGACTAGTTCGGAAGTAACAGTTCGTATTTAAGGTGTAAGAACCCCACTCCAAACGTGCGTGCATTGTTGCCCAAGGTGCCTAAAAGACTGAATTTTATTAGAGTATTTATCTACCAGAACTATGTTATCTATATTTTCTAAATGGAATGATGACATCTCACTGCAACTTATCTACTCTTGGATAATTGAATCACGAAAGCTCCAAAAGAATGTTTATGACAGAGTTAAATGAAACAAACAAATATGCTACTCACATAATTAGAAATGTTAGTAGCTTTAGAATTGGCATTGTGTATTAGACCCAGTCGATTGTACTGAATGTAATATTCATTTAAAGTATACAAGTCAAGTGTAGTTACTTTGGGATTGATTTCAATTACCGATTGAATGATATTACACTACGTTGTCGTTAACTGAATCGTGCTATGAAAAAGGTGATTTTTCACGTGTTTGAAGACGTATTAGTCTTAATTTCAGATAGTTTGTCAGCCAATAGTAGACGTACAATCTGGTAGAAATATACAGTGGATTAAGTTGCCATTTCATGTCGACACGACTAGATAAGTTTAACAACATGAATACCAAAGTAATCGAAGATATATAAATAAGGAAGACAGAATGTAGACGAATACTAGAGATCATGATCTAGAATAAGACAATATATGTATTTGGATCATTGTGATCATTTCTATGCCATATCAGCGAATATCCTCAACTAATGATCACGATAGTCGTTCGGAACCCAATCAGATAGTTTGTATTTAAAGTCATAACTTATATCAACAGTTGTTGACTTCGTGGTCTGGTGCCAAGTTTTGGTTTCGCTACCCTCAAGCTTTTCTTCCAAACTACTCTTACACCGACAAACATCAAGCACTAAGATAGACTATAGTTATGCTTATACACTACAAGTTTCAATCACTTCAGTAATGAATAAAAATATACTATCCCATAAACCGACTTACCACATTTACCTAGCATATTTTTTTAACCTAGAAAAAATGCCCATCCGGTTTTACTATTGATACGCGATCACTCATTATCGAACCATTCAATCTACATCTTTTACTTTCATAGATCATGTTTCATAATCAACATACTGTTCAGCAAAGTATACTTATCCTTTAGTTAACCATTTTAATATTTCGTCTACAGTAAGTTTAATCGAGAAAAAAAACTATTATCTCGCTACCCTAAGAAAACCCTTTTTATTCTTCCAATTTTTTGTCTTATCCTCTTTAGTTTTTAGTTTCGTTTTTTCCTTTCTTCATTTTTTCCTCATTTTCCTCATGACGTCGTATAGGATTATCATTGCCGGCCTAGGTGATCCTGATATTATACCACCAAATGATGATGATGATGACAAAAGTAATAGCAACAAAAATTCAATTATTTTAGCGTTTATTTGTGGATTATTGATTATTATTGGCGCAATCAGTAGTGTTTCTATAATACGTCGAATACAACGTAGACATTATCAAAGAATATCTGGATTAAATAGTAGTGGTAATAATAATAATAATAATAATGAAGCTATTAATGATCATTCACCAATAATAGTACAAGAACGATCATCAATAAATGATAATCGTATAGTTGAACCATATCAATATGAAAAATTAATTAGTCAACCAAATCATGAACTAAACAGAAATAATTATCATACTATAATTAATGAAAATAATTATTTATCAAATAATAATATATCTAATATTAATTGGATTAATTCTCCACCTCCATATAGATCTGTTACAAAAGATTATTAAAAAATTCAATGATTAAATTGTATACTACTATTATTAATACTATTAGTAGTAATAGTAGTAGTAGTACTACTACTACTACTGAAAACTGTTCATCGATTAGATATTATTGTACTTTAACATGATTATTTTTTTGGTTGTTGAATAAAACAAATTTTTTTTTATTTATTTACTATTTTTTAACAAAACAAGCATCATCATCATCTCCATCTTGTTGGTATTTTGTTGTTGTTGCTGGGTATCATATTTATCCCCGGTATCTTCTAGTTATTATCATCAATATTATTATTATTATTATCATTATTATTATTATTATTATTATTATTATTATTATTATTATTATTTTCATTACGAACACATATATTGCCCGGTTTAATTAAACTTTTTTAAATAATTTAATTCTTCAATTATATAATTATTACAATAGATTTTTCTTTTTTAAATTTATATTTATTCACTAATTTATTAAAATGTTCAAATAATTATTTTATTGTAGTTTTCAAGAGTCAGTGAAATAGCTAAAAAAAAATGGAAACACTTTCATCATTCACTATGCAATAGAAGTTATTACAAAACTCTAAAAATAAAATAATCGATAGTGTACATATCAGGTTGATTTGAATGGTTATCTACTCTGCTGATTGGGTTGCCTTTTCCAGCTAAACAAGTTGCTGAAGCCTAGTAGGCTATTCTAAAGAGAAATAGGTCATGTTGAAGCATGGCACAACTACTGGGGCTAGAATAGTTGTTTTTGCGACCAGTTGAAGTTTGCGTCATGAAGAGCAACCCCATACATTACATGCATCACTTTTGTCAATTTTTTGTCGTTTTTCCATCCAAGAGTAATTGTGCTGCGTTTCTTTATGGAGTTCGTAATCGATTTGAGGGTGTCGGTGGAGTGGGTGATTAGCCTGATCTCTACCGCCCGGGTTACCGCACACGTTAGTTCATGGATCATCCATCTCACTATCCGGGTGGCATGACGCGGACGTATGAGTCGGATTTTGCCTCCCATCTACTCTGGTACTAAATTTGATACTATCCCATAAGTCTCTATGTTTATTGGTCAGGTGTAATACTAAAATGACGTACGTTTTTCTATAAACAAACTGATCTTAGAGTAAAGCTTTTATTCTAAATTTCAACTTTTTTTAGTGCTCCAGTTGACGTGTAAAAGTAGCTGGGGTTATAGGAACTGGTTAAGAAGACACTTTAAGCGTGTCAGTAGCAAGACTTATTAACATGTCTGTCTTTTTTTATGAATATTCTGACAAGTGGGTACAAGATAGGGATTGGTTGAAGTATATATTATTGGATATTTTATACTTCAGGTGAATTTCGCGGAATACGTAGTATTAAAAATTGTTCGAGATCTATTCTTACGAACAACGGTGTTAAATTGTAGAAAACAGGTTAGTAATTGATCAACTATTGAATAGTGATGCATGTCATATGTGTTTAGTCCTTTAATGCAGACTGAACTCTCGATCAAATCGCAATACGTTCAGTAGTCTAAGCTCATCGCGTGCACTAAGTTGTGTTGTCAGATAGTTGAAAGTAATCAACAGAAAACCCTGCACCCATGTTTAGAATCTCACAGAGAATGCCAGTTCCTTCAGGAATACCGGGATGCCTTGGTGACATGTTCCAACTACCAAGAAATCTCGACTCAGTATTTTTTTTACTTTCTCCAACTATCTACCAGAATAAACATCAGATTGTACTGTACACTGAGAATGCTCAGCTGATTTTTAATTCCAAGAATAATATTTGGTACGTTGTTTGTTTAATGTTTGACAAAAACTTGCTATTAGATGCATTAGAGTATTTTGTTATCGTATGATTGTTTATTATGGTTTGAATTCGAAGGTATTCTCAGTAGTATATAATTGATAATACTGCTAACTGTGTATATAAATCTTTACATGTATGTTTAACTAATTTCAAAACTGTGAAATATTAGTTAACCTCTGTTATCAGCACTGTAGCTATTTTGTTGCTTTAACATGCGTTTGTATTAAAATTTACGGGAATTAAGTTAATATCTGTCAGTAAAGATTTAATTTTTAGATTAGGTAGAAATAAAATGCTTGTAATTTAGTTCAAGAGGTTTTGTGGACATTCGTTGACAACTTCACATATCTTGGAGATCTGACTATCCCTAATGGGTTGGTGTCTGACGAAATCTCTGCACAGATTCAAAAAGCTCGTTTGGCTTTTGCAAACTTACGTCATCTATGGCGACGGTGAGATATCCACCTATCAATTAAGGGGAAGCTTATACCAAGATAAATAGTCACAGATACTACTTCTCATTACGAAATATGAGTAGTAATAATGAAGTCTGCTAGTTAATGTGCATTCTTCTTTATGTCATTCTGCTAATTAGTTATTTGATTTCCAATTATCTGTTCTATTATTTATGTTTATTGTAGTCGATTAACTGGAAAGATTTCGAAATGTAGTATCTTTTCAGTGGCCCGTGGATCTGACTCCATTTAGATCATATGAATGTTCGTTATCACCTAGCCTCGTATACAATCATCGACTTAAATCACGTTAGTCAATAACGGAACTTATATAAGCCAATTAACGAGAATGGCCTTTGAATACACATATTTTGTATGTAAAGTGAAGGTAATAGAACAAAGCAAAATGACGCGCAGTGTAGATGGCTTGTAAGCCAACTCATTTTTAGCCAAGCGTTACTCAATATTTATAGGCAGACAAAATTAAGCTACAGACATGTGATTAATGGGATAAGAAGGGCACACACATATACGCTCATATAAAAACAGTCTAGGTTGATAAGCGAATAAATAACATGGTCAAAATATGACTCAAGTAGAATGAATGGATTGTGCTGTTCGAAAGTTAGAATAAAGTATATGGGCTTAACATAATAACTGACACTACACTTATACCAATTAGATGGATAATATTAATCATTCCTGAAAGCATGTCACCATTTTTAGCTATGTTTTCTTTAAAATATGTTTAAAGTACTTAACTTAGACATGTCTTTGTGAGGATATATCGGAATATACTTCTAAATTTCATTTGTTATCAAGGCATACCTTAGAAGGAGATCTACAAAATGATAACTTGATGAGTTTCTTGTTAAGTTCATTAAAATAGAATACTTAACATAAGTATTATTACACATAAGGCACATTTTTAATCGATCCATTTAGATGCCTATGAAGATATGGAGAAATACAAAGATTATTTCATGATTTCAATGAAAAGAACCCTTGACATTTGTTAAATTCATCTGTTAGCAAATTGGAATATAAAAGAAACAACAAAATATTCTATACAAAAAGTGGTAGATTATCACTGGCTTTTAGGAACGTTGCTCTAGTTGCTGAACACATTAGCTATCGCATGGTGTATGCTACATATGTTGACAGATATAAGTAGTATGTAACACCAATCAACAGTTGAATAGTTTTATACACATAGTTTCCTTTATCATTTTGAAAAGAGCAAGAACAAACATTCTAACAGAATAGTATGAATTCATTCCTATTATGTAGGTCCTCGTCAACTGCTTACAACCTGTGATATTTAAAATCATAATTACATAATGGGTTTAAATTACTTACATGAAAGAGTTTGGCTGGAAGTTATATTGAAGACATATTCATATAGTAGTATAGCAAGGGTGTAAATAAATTTAATCGACTGAATATTGTAAATATATACCTGATGTGATGAAAGAACATTGTGATAACAGTTCAAAGGGTTAGAAACAAGTAAACTTTGATAAGAATAAAATGAGTAGAGTTCAGTTGATAAAATAAGATAGTTAGAATAAAACTCAATGGTGTAATAAATGCAAGAAAGAGTTTAAACAAAAAGAAAAAAATTATTAAGATATAAAGAAGGAATATTAATCACCAAGGCAAGGGAAGATTAATAACCATCTCCTTTTGAACACATAAATCAGGCTTTTGGCGCCTGATAGCAACTGCTTCAGCAAACTTCAGAAGACTGGAGTTTGGCTGTTTACCAATTACCTTGAATGATTGTAGGTTGTCGACCTGATGTCATGTATCAATATGTTTGGTGATTGCACTATTTAGAGTCTTTCTTTCTCTTGTTCTGAGGCTTTTTGGAACATATTCAAAAAATCTAAGATATGCCCTCCTTTCTGTTCGGCCAATGTTAGTGCTTTGGCAGGTACACGTAAATTTATAAATACAATTGGCGGTAACATGAAAAGGATGCTTATCAACCTTTGATTGAGTTATTGAGCATGTTGTTTTATGCAGAATTTGAAGTTTGGCCGCCGGATAAGTTATGGCTAACGCCGTATTCAGTCTCCTGTTGATTGTGTTTGCAACCTCATCACCTTTGAAGTTAAGACCTATAGTTATTGGTTTTTTATTGACAGTAATTACTTCAGTATTGTTTTCTTTACGCTTTTTATACTCGTCAATAAACCTTTGTGGGTAAAAGTTGTCTCATAGGCATTTTTCCACTTTCACCAATTCTTCTTCCAGTTTGTCAGTGGTACATATCCTTTCTGCCCTATAAAATAGTGTTTTAACTAATGCCTTCTTGCAACAATGTACAAAAGCTATTGAAATTCAAGTAAATGCCATTCCAAGTACTTTTTCGATAAAGCGAACGTTGGACTTTCCCGTCTCTCCTACGTTTTATAGCAACATCAAGAAAGTGGAACATGTCACTCTGTTCGTGTTAACAGCAGAAGACTAAGAACATCGAATTTAAGAAAAAAGCGAAAAGGGAATAGAAAGGAATTGTGAATTGGAAGAATCAAACAGAATGTGAAGGACAATGGATGGAAGATTTGTAAATGACGTATTTCATGTATGGTTCTCATGTTTTGGGAAGATATTCTGTAATTTTGTATATTTTTATCTTATAATTGTTCAGTAACTAAACTATTCATATTCGTATCCCTCTTATTATGAGCTTTATTTTGACCTATGAACTATTATTACACGATTTACCATTCTTAAGTTATTCCCAATTTATTAATTACAGTCTTCCATATTCACAGCCACATTTGACTAATTCTTGTACAAATGTTGTTTCATATTATATTGGTACGTTTTGGTCTGTCTGGTTGGTATATAAACCCAGTATGTTTGAAATAAACTATTCATATATCAGAGGCTGATATTGGTGTTCTGGACTTAACAGGTGGGGCTAGGCAGGAGGCAGTATCAATAAGACTTTAGACAACTCGTCTGGGTTTTATGCATCATTGATGCGATCGATAATTCACTGTTCTCTAATTGGTGGTATCATTACTTTATACATTGATAAGGACACAGAGCACAAGTTATAACAGGTTCCTATATGTGTTCTCGTCCATTACAATTGCAGTCTTTTCTATTATCCTGTACATTTATTTTTTTTTGGTTTGAGAAATTCTTAGCAGTATGACGTAGAAGTACGATCTTATTGATTATTTGTGCACTAAATTATGAATAGTTATGAATTCTTATCTGTGTATATGTTTGTCTGACATTCTTATCTCACTAATGCTAGACATTGTATTTTTGTTTCAAAACTTATGTGATAACATATATATGACTTCCGTCTAACTACTGTGGTGTGAACTACTTATATTGATATAAGTAGTATATAACGTGCGTTAAGAGAACGTAATGTCTGGCAGCGGAAGATGGCGAAGATCAAGAAAGGTAGAGCGAGAACACATTGGAATTTGTAAGAAAACGCATGTACAGTGGAATGGGAGACAATGGATTAGTGTTTGCAACGGAAACAGTCCAGTTTGATACGATGCATTGATATTTTGCAAATTGACGATTGACTTTATGGTATTCAGATTTTATTGAGATAGTCTGTAATTGTTGTGCTAAAAACATCCGTTTGTCCCCACTCGTGTTCTCGTTCACTACACTACTACGTGTGCTTATTGATTCATTATTGGTCCTATCTGTTTGATTATTTAGCTTGATTGAAATAAACCTTGTCCAGTAACACTTTGTATTGTGAATTAATTGTTATTACACCAGAAATGAACGTAGTTGTGTTTAAGGTATTTAT